TGTCTTTCAGAGAGCAAAGGAAGTCATTCAGGCTACAGTAGGCCATTTGGCACAATTGAAGAGGAACAGGTCTGAAAAACTCCTGTGCCACCAAAACCAACGACTAAAAATAGTCTTGACCAGGCTTACACTGCACGTCGGCAAAACTTAGATCATTTCCAGTAAATACTTCTGTTAGGCAGAAACGAAACTTCAGCCAAACATAGAAACTTTAAATAGGGTAAACAACAATAAAAAGCAATGTTGCACTTCAACCAATGTAATCATTTCCTGTTTTGCTTCTGCATTGCTCCTCTAAAGACTGCCTCTGATGCACTGCAATTGACCCTTGGGGTCTTTTAGTTGCGGTTATGCAATTCACACATTGTTTCTTACTCAAATAAACTCCCTTTTTAAAAAAAAAGAATTGTGTCACAGCCTACCTTTTGAAAAAGAAATTCTTATGTTTAAGTAGTTGTACAAAGGGGTTTCAATTCAACATGTCAATGTATAAGTACAATGCATATCGATCAATATCACCTTTTCTTTTCTTTTTTTCTTCTTTTCTGTCGGTTGTGGGGCTTAAACTCTGGGACTGGACGCTGTCCTTCAGCCCTTCAGGTCAAGGCTAGCACTCTACCACTTGAGCCCAACACCACTGCCAGTTTTCTGGTGGTTAAGTAGAGATGAGTCTCACAGACTTTCCTGCCTTGGCTGGCTTTGAACTGCGATCCTCAGATCTCAGCCTCCTGAGTAGCTAGGATGACAGGTATGAGCCACTGGTGCCCGGCTCAATATCACCTTTTCTATCATTCTCTCCACCACTCCATCCCCTCAAGCTACCTGGCTCCATTTTCCCATATATATGCTGAGTATTATCACTGTATTCACCCACCCTTACCTCTCTGTCAGCCTCCCTTCCCTTAACCTCCACTGTCTCCCAACAGTATATGTTTTAGCTTCCTGGTAATTCATTTTGCTAAATGCCTAGCTGCTCAAAGGACTTTTTTGTTTCTTTCTGTTTGTTGGTTGGTTTTTGTGCTAGTTCCGGGGCTTGAACTAAGGGCCTGGATGCTGTCCCTGAGGCTTTTATTTGGTAAAGTCTAACACTCTGTCACTTGAACCACAGCCTGACTTTTGGCTTTTAGGTGGTTAATTGAAGATAAGAGTCACAGATTTTCCTGCTTCCAACTGTGATCCTTAAAGCTCAGCTTCCTGAGTAGCTAGGATTGCAGGAGTGAGTCACCAGCACCCACACCTTTTTGCTTTTAAATCAGTTTCTATTAGGCTTTCTTGTGGAAGAGTTTTCTTTTTCTTTTTGTTTGTTGGTCATGGAGCATGAACTCTAGGCCTGAGCACTGTCTCTCAGCTCTTCAGCTCAAGGCGAGCGCTCTACCACTTAAGCCACGGCACCACTTCCAGTTTTCTAGTGGTTGATTGAAGAGAAGAGTTTCCGGACTTTCCTGCTCAGGCTGGCTTTGAACTGTGATCCTCAGATCTCAGCCTCCTGAGTAGCTAGGATCATAGGCGTGAGTCACCGGCACCCAGCAAGAGTTTCTTACTTCATCCAAGACAATTAACTCACTTTGATACAAGGTTTATTCATGGCAAGGCAGCTACCATCTTTCATTCTGCTTCATTGAACTATTTTTCCCCTGAGGCAAAGTGTAGCTCTGTCGGTCAGGCTGGCCTGAAACTTGCAGCCCTGCTTCTATGCCCATGGCTGGGATTGCAAGTGTACTGTACCCTGGCTTTTTAAGTCTTCTTTGGTCTCTCCCAGTAGCAGCTGTCAGGGAACTTTTCTTTAATCGATGCAAATACCAAGTTCCCAGAACACACAAAGCTCTCACTCAACTCTTCTCATTCTTTTGGCAGACTCCTATCACCCTGACCTTGGGAGGTCATGGTTGGTTCAAGCTGCATTTCCACAGCACGAGAGAGTCCCAAGTCCTTCCTTGAGCCTTTTCTAAGCTCACTTCCCCCAGGCTTTTCCATCCTCCATCCCAGGCCACTGCCCTCCCTGAGCCCCATTTCACACAGACCAGGACGTTGATGCCCCAACAAGTTTCCCCATCAGGACATGCTTGGCATTTGGAAGACGTTAGTAACGGCTGGAGGTAGAGAAGGATGAGATGGGCTCTCCCTGTTCAGTTCTCCTGACTTGACATTTCTGTCCTGAGCTCACTCTTTTCCCTCTGACTTACTGGAAGGAGACACTAGGTGAAACATCATTCATTGCCACTCATTATCTTCCTCTCAGGAATGGCAGAGCGATTGATCTGGCTGGGAATGCCAGAGAAGCCTGAGAGATATGGTATCATCTCCTAGTGCAATATGGGTACTGGGTCTCAGAGGGGCGATGTTTTCCTCTCCACCATCTTGGCACCTTACCCTCGTCCCTGATTGTCCCTCACCTGGCTGGCTTTACTTTGGTAAAACATTTTTGTTAGGTTTAATCCCTCACCCTATCTATGGTTTGGGCCTGGATATGCTTTGTGCTAGCTACATTCACTGCTGCATGTTTTTCGGGGACATGAGTTTGCCTGCCGACACCGGCATTTTAATCGACTCCCAGTCTGACCTCTGAAAGTGTCCCTCCTCCGTATCTAGCTGATCCAATTCCTGTAAAACACTAGCAGTATTTCACTTTTCACACACACAGAACAGGAAGGCTGTGTTCTCTATCTGTCTGGGAATGTCGGGAGCCCTGGTGGCCACTGTACTATATTCTGCTAGTGTGTGGACTTCTCAGAAGTAGCAGAGAGATCGGTTCTCCTCCTCTGAACAAGTGAGGACCTCCACTTCTGCTTCCTCCATCCCCGCTACACACTGATAAAGGCCAGACTCTTCCTTGTTGACCCATCATGTGTGGAGCTGGCTGACTTCCGCTCAGGCAAAGCATTGAGATATCCACCTTGGCCTCTGACTCCTGATGTTAATAGGGACCAGTTTGATCCTAAGGAGTTCCACACCTTTGGCTAAAAAAGATAATATTTTATCCTCTGGTTTGAGTTCCCTGTGTGTTTTCCATTTCTCTTAGGCTCCTGCAGGGGAGAGTGTCTTTGTATCCTGAGTGATGTGAAATGGGGAGCGCCCCAGCTGATGTGGCGGCTTGGCCCTTCCTTGGTGCCTGATCAGGGCAGAGCGGAGACCAGTCACATCTGGCTGCTCCCCACCCATAAATGGGGACAGGAAAGTCTGTATCCTATTTGTGAAAAGTACAAACAATGGCAGGAAATAAAACACTGGTCAGGAGTTCCTTCCCAACAGGCCCCAACAGATAGGTAGGTCATTCTGCTCTTCCTGTTCTGTGTTCGTGAAAAGTGCAAACCCTTCTTGGAAATGGCGTGATAAATCATCAGGCGCTCCTAAGCATTCCAAAACTGAAGAACCCTCTGCCATCTGAGAAGATATCTTATGCCTCTTACATCCCTCTTCTCATCTAGTGCCCCTGCGTAAACACTTACACAACCATCACCAAAGAAAAGTTAGTACTATTAAAAAGTATGCTAAATTGTTATCATGCAAATTATTACATTAAATGTTTTCTATGAGCAATTGTCCCCATCTCTCAATGTGAAATCTTTCAAGTTCATAAAAATCTAAATATTGTCTTTTCCTCAATTTTTAGACAAAGTGTTTCACCCGTGAAGTAATCATTTTCTTTATCAAGTCTGTGGTTAAAATGTGGACAAGTGAGGTAGGATGGCAGATTAGAAACTTATTCTGTGTGACTTTATCAATGAGGAGAGTCAGGGTCACAAAGAAGAGAAGCATCAAGAAAGAGAAGATAAGACTGCTAAAAAACATGGAGAACCACAAAGGTATCCAATATAGAGAAATTTAAGAGAGAGACTTTAGTTAACTCTGGCTCCTGGGTAAGGGTCAGGGGAAGAAGTCAAAGGAGCCCAGTTCAAAGCCAGACTGGGAAAGGAATTCTGGGAGACTCTTATCTCCAGTAAACTACTCAGAAAAAGCTGGAAGTGGCCTTGTAGCTCAAGTAGTAGAGTGCTAACCTTGAGTACAAAGAAGCTCAGGGCAGAGCACAAGCCCTGAGTTCAAGCCCCAGGACTGGCCAAAAAAAGAAAAGAAGGAAGAAAGAAAGAAAGAAAGAATAAGAAAAAATAAAGAAAGAAAGAGAGATAGGGGTAACAAGTTCAACAAGAAACATACTCACTACCTTACTTATGTAACTGTATATCACCTTGACAACAGAATTTTTTTTGTTTTTTGATTTATAGTCGGTCGTGGGGCTTGAACTCTGGGCCTAGGCACTGTCCCTCAGCTCTTCAGCTCAAGCCTACCACTCTACCACTTGAACCACAGCATCACTTCTGACAATAGAATTAAAAAAGAAAAAGATCACCACTCAACTCATGCTATTAGGCAGGGATTACACTCACCCCAAAACTGGACAGAAACACTACATCAACTTTAATGAATCTTTAATGAATGCAGACAGAAAACTCTTCAATGAAATACTGTCAACAGAATTCAACAACTAATAAAACAAAATCATACACCGTGCTCAAGTTACTTTCATTCCAGGTGTGCAAGGCTAGTTCAACATAGGTAAATCAATAAACATAATAAAGCCCATTAACAGAAATATGGACATGATTGCCAAAAAGTGAAACTCTGAATTAATACAGATAATATGGCATATTCCAATACACAATGAACCGCTATTCTGCATAAGTATGTGAGAATTCTAAATTTTTTTTATTATAATAGCAATAAACAACACAACTGTATCAGGGTCAAAGTGTGCAGACAACCCAGTCAGCACTAAGTACTCAAGAGCGGAGTTATAAAGCATAGGATTGTAGCACTTAGCTTGTTTCTAAAGAAAAGGAGCAAATTGATTGTTCTTCAAACTGGTTAAACTGATGTTGGACAGGAAGTTTCCACAGACCCATTTGAACAAACCAATTGCTCAGCCTTAGCTCTTGAACTGCTGTCTTTTCTTCCTTCTGGCTCATAGCACAATTGAGCTCAAAGATCTGTTTTCCAGAGAATTCTTCATTCTTCTGAGGGCTGACAAGAAGAAACAATTTGAGTCCGTCTGGGACTATGTCAGCAAACAATTTGACATTGGTTAAGAAAAGATTCTACAGCTTTTTCCACCTTTAAGATTGGCTAATGGGAAGAACTTAACTATCTAACAAACCATATATGTAAGAAAGATCACTCTTGTCCTAAAGAAAGAAAAAAAAAACCACAACAAACCTGAGTAGAAGCTGCAGACAGTGACAGTCTGCCTAAAATCTAGAGAACTACTGGCTTGGAGTCATCTTTGTGGCTTCTTGTATACCTTTTCCTGTGTTTCTGAGAAAGAATTCATGGTTAAGATGCATCAATATTGCTAAATCAATCAGATATTCAGACTTTGTCCCACCAGTCCTAGGGGACAGGGTCTTCACAGACAATGCAGAAAATATAGACAAAACTATCATTAAGTCTCCTTAAATAACTGGAAGGCAGCGCGAGCCATAGAGCATATTTGTAGGATTAATTCAAGGATCCACTTCTGATCCTGAACTTCTTCTCTAGCATTTTTCTGTCTGTGGTTATAGAAAGTTTCTTTATCTGACAAATCCCTCTGCATTTGTGCCTTTCTCCTTTCCCGCTCCAGTTCATCTTTCAGATTCCTGATTTGCTCATCAAACTCCTGTCTTATCTGTGCTTTCTCTCTCTCTAGCTGCCGTCGGTACTTTCCTTGGATTATCTGGATTTGCTTCTGAATCTCCTCCTCAGCCTTTTGGTACATCTTATTGGTGAAGCACCCTCCGCCATTGTCCCTCATGACCTGCTCCACCAGGGCCAGCAGCTCCGCCCTCTGGGCCTCCTGTTCAGACCCCGATGCCCTGTTGTTAAATACACAGTATTGACCATCAAACTGGTGGATCAGCGTTAGAATGCTTTCTGGCGCTTCCTTTAAGTAATCACTAAAATCAGTGTCACCCAAGTCATCTTTCCGGGTGAACAGGAGGATCATGAAGCTTCTAGCCCTTTCTCCAAACATTGTCAGGACCTTTTCTGTGGCCTTGTGCTCTTCCTCAGTGTAACGGCCCAGGGGAACCACCAGAATCACCGCATGAGGTCCCGGGGCCGTGAGGAGCACGCAGCGGGCGATCTCCCTGTGCGTGTCAGCATCCCGCACCTCCGTGTCGAACACGCCGGGGGTGTCCACCACAACGATTTCTTTTCCTTTCCACACGCACGTCCTCTTCTCACAGACCTTGGTGATGGACTTGGCTGAAATGCCCGAGTTAAACGCCTTCTCTCCCAGGATGCTGTTCCCTGTGGCACTTTTTCCTGCTCCAGTTTTCCCCACTAACACAATTCTCACTTGGGGATTTCTGGGGAGTTGGTTTGCAGGCCCTGGAACAGCAAGGAAACAAAGGCCACAGTGTTAGAAATCTCGTCTTGCAGATGACATCTGAGATCTGAGAATTGCAGTTCGCAGCCAGCCCGGGCAGAAAAATCCCTGTGAGATTTTATCTCCAGTTAACCACTGGAAAACTGGAAGAGGTGCTCTGTGGCTCAAGCAGTACAGCACCAACCTTGAGCACACACACACACACACACACACAAAAATGTCGGGAACAGCACCCAGGCCCTGAGTTCAAGCCCCACAACCAAGCCTTCACGGCTTCTGGTGGTTGGCCCCAAGGTGGCCTCTTCCCTCTCAGGGTCTATAGACAGACTGTGGGCCTAAGGGCTAAGTTCTGTGGTGCAGCTAGAGGTACCTGGCCCTCCTTGGTCCCCTGACTTGTTCTTGGTCTTTCTTTTTTTCAGGGTTCCTGGAAGCTCCTCACTCTGATGCGTGTGGGTTACCGCTCGCAGAGGAGGAAATGCAATGGGGTCAGAGCAGCAGGGTAAGTTGCTGATGGTCGCTGTTCAATGAAGGAACCCAGGAAGGAACCAAACCTGACTCTGGGGTGTCTGCCGTGGTACAGTCTCAAATTTACTTCTTTATCTTTCGGCAGTAGTGGGCTTTGACCGCGGTCTCGTGCGTCTAGTCTAGGCACTCTACTTCTGAGGCATACCCCACCCCTAGGAACTTTTTTTTACCTTGATTACCTTTGAGGTAAAGTTCTTGTTTCCTGCCCAATGTAGGCCTGACTTTCGGTCCTACTATGTTATGCTTCCCATCATAGCTACGATGACAGGCGTTTGCCACCAGTCCCGGCTTCT